AATATTACAGGAAATAAATGCCATAGAAAGACTTCAGAAACAGAAAATAGCAGAACAATTTTTTTTTTTTTTAATTCTTGTGACAGATGTTTTTAAAACTTTTTTTAGTGTATATGTAGAGTCTTGTTTATGATTATTTTTTAAATAGGTTTTTATTCCTGGTATCAATATGAGAACAATAATTTGCCTCCCCCGCTACGTAGCTTTATTGATGGTTGAGATCAGTCAATAATTAAGCTGCAAGAAGTGAGTTGTGAGGGAATCTTCGTGGTTGAGCAAGTAAAGACTATAGTGGGGAGCCTGCACCTACAATTAACATAGTGGTAAGATGCAGGAGTTACATAAAACCCCAGGGCAGGGCGGACTGAAATCTTATAATTAAAATACATAAAACCACAAGTTTTATGTGTGTAACAGCTTCTTTGTTCTCTCCCTTGACAAAGGCAAGAGGTTTGGGTAGAGGGAAGCTATGGAGTACAATGGAGTCCAGCAATGGGATAGATTGGATCATAGATCATACATTCTGGTTTTCACCGTGCTCAGCCAGATTTAAGAAGAGCTGAGAATTATGGGATATGTAGTCCAAAAAAATAATATGGTGTTTCATCGCTTCTGTAGGAAATACTTATGTTACCTATCTATAGCCTTAGAGTGCAAGCTTTCAAGACCACTTAGATCAGAAGAGACGTGGCTGGTCCTAAAAGCTTGCACTCTAAAACTTCTTAAATAGCAAGAAGTTATCTTTACATTATTAAATTACGTTATTGTCTTTAGATTACTTGGCTCCTGTCAATACCACCAAAACACTTCCAGGAAAAAAATCACTTTACTTTATTCTTTATTCCACTTGGAATTACCACCAGCTAATTGGGTCCATCATGGTCTATTTCTGATCTAATTAGGGTTAATTGGATTTGCCTGTGCTCAGTGTTTGAGACATTACCTCTGCTAACCAGGGCTATGGATCAGTGAACCCTTTACACCTTTTTAACATGTTAACGTCTCCTGTTAATGCTGCTACCCACGCTACCTTCATGTCAACTATGCAATTAATAAGTATAGCACCTTGCTGAGTTTGTACAGTACTTGCTACTCTGTTTGCTCTCTAGGTCATATACGTATCCGTGTGTTTATATCACTTTTTTTTGCATCATACATATAAGGCTACTGAAAGCCATTAAAAATAAGACATATTTTCTGTAATTTTTTTTTATTGTGTTTTTTTTTCTCATAGAAACTGTGTACGTACTGCCATTGTTTTAGAGTAGGTCGAATGACCTATTGCTGAGAGTCAGTGATATTCCTCTTGGAAAGTCCATGAACCCCCACCCTGCACACCCCCTCACTCTGCAGGGAGCTTGTAGCTGCTGAGAGTTTCCAGAGAATCTTGTCACTGCGGGACTGTTGTTACACAATTCAGAGTGTGATCCTACGCTAACATGCAGAGTGTGAACACTAACTGGGCTCATTTAGAAACCAGGTCCACGAACTAGGGCAGTGTCAGCAGCACTCACGTAAAAAATAAAAATTGAGAAAAAAATATTCTAATATATCTACTGTTATATCTAATATATACTACTTGTCACGTTTCAATTACTTTTGTAGAGTAAAGGCCTTCAACAGACAGGTAAGTAGTACTTGATTCGAAAATTGAAACTTTGAAGGTAGGGAGGGGAGAGAACAAGAGTAGCCATTTAGTTACATGAGATTTGCAAAATATAGGTAAATCAGGCTTTATAACTGTGCTATACTTTGTCTCATACCCGCATCACACATACTTAAAGGAACATAACGTTAGGAATACAAATCTGTATGTCTTAAAATTATATTATTCCTGTTCCTAGTAGTATTAGACCCCTCCCAATTAGGCAATGAATAGGTTAAAAAAAACCTTCTTTACTTACGTTGTTTCCAGCTCCGAGGCTCCCTTGGCATTGCTCACCTCTGCTCCCCAGACGCCACCAAGAAGAAGTATTGGGGACCTAATGCGCATGCGTGGTTAGTGCAGCATGTGCATTCAGACATTTCCATAGGAGAGCACTGGATCAATGCTTTCCTATTGGGCTTCTGCGTCACGTGACTTAAGTTTACTCTGTGCTGCTAAAGCACCTCTAGTGGCTGTCAGTAGTAGAATAGTCACTAGAGGAGGACTTACCCTGCAATGTAATCGCTCAGTTTCTCTAAAACTGCAATGTTCTACATTATGAGGGTTATGAGGACAGGGACATTGCACCCAGGCCACTTCAATGAGCTGAAATGCTCTGGGTGACAACAGTGTTCCTTCTGTCTCTGTTCACTTTGAAACCAGTTTTTTGTAATGAAACTAGTTATTTGTATGCAAAAGCAGATATTAAAATAATTTTCAAAGAACAAACCCATTTTCCAAATGTTCCATTACACTGCCATGTCAGATATGTAGTTTTAAAAACTTTGTTTATTAAAAATGCCATTTACTTCAAGAGGAGCAATAAAGATAAACACTATTCACCACAGCCGAGAGAAATTGTCTGTTACAGCTCTCAGCCAAATGAGCGCAGATATTCCAGATCGCCACAAAGATATTTAAATAAACTGCACAGCCTCCCAGCAAAAAACAAATGCTAAATATTCTACATCTACAACGAATGTAAGAGTATTTCTCGTTATTCGTATCATTTCATGGGTAATGAAGGTAATGAAAATTAGAATGCAAAATAGGTTCAGTCATAGCAAACCCTTGTAACAATAAAACACATCAAATATAACAATAAAAAAAGTATTAAAACAAATAGTGATCGTCACAATCCTTATGAGGCTTAAGCTTATTCAAATTTGTTTATGATTTCATTAATTATACACTAAAAAATGTTTTACCCGTATGTTGGTCAGACTTGGGAAAGATAAAAAAACAGACCAGTCCCATACAGCGTATATTCGGTTTACATTCCACCTTGTGAAAGAGAAAATATAAATAAAGCTTAATATTTTAAAAAATTCACACTGAGTATTTTCATTGTTATTACCCTATGACATGACGGAAATATTCCGTCATGATTCCCTTTTATTCCAGAAGTTGTGTCTTTAAAGGGTTAATGAGAAATGCGCAGTCTAGCTTTATAGTCTTCAAATAGTCCTGTGTGACTGGGGGATGAGCACCTGACAATACACAGATGGGAAAACAAAAAAGGAATAGTATAATATATTTTATAAAGTCAATTGTGTAATGAGTACATTCAAATGTTAGAATCTCAAATTAGTTCATGAATTTGTCCCTGTAATTCATTTGTGTCCTTACAAATCCACCATTCGGCAGACTAGATGGGCCGAATGGTTCTTATCTGCCGTCACATTCTATGTTTCTAACCAAAAAAAGCTACAAGTGGCTATAATTTTTATATAAATGTGGTGTTACACTATTTTTTGCCTCTTGTTTTTTTTTCTCATATGTTGTCCACTTGTGACATACTCCCTAACATTATTCTCTTGCAAAAGTTATACAAAACTTATCATGGAATGGATACTCATGCATCTAACATGTAACAAATGAATGTGGTCTAGTTATAAGAAAATGATAAATAAACCAAAATATTTGTTATACATTGCAAGACTCATTTTATATTGTTAACATATTAAATAAATATTTTGTGTTATAGAAACCCTAATCTTTGGTCAGAACAATTGGGGCACTCACCCTAAGCCCCACACTGTGCGCAGTGTGTGAAGTCCTGTGGATGTGAACACTGCAAGTGCTGCCTGATAGTAACATTAAAACAGGAAATGGGTGTTTGGATGTGAGCTCTTACCCCATTCAATGTGTGGATGAGGGGTAGTAGCACGGAACACCAGAGATCAGAGAACAGAGCCTCTCCCTCCATGCAAAAAGTGATGCAGAGGGAAAAATTAAACGGAATCATAAAAGGTTGTATTTATGTATGTGTCGGTGAATGTCTATGAATGTGTCAGTTTGTCTATGTGTTTGAGAATGTTGCTAATTAGGTTGGTGTGCACTGTGCAGCACCTTCTGTATGTGTGAATGGCTAAATATGCATTTGCATATGTACGTGTGGCTAATTAGATGAGTGTAAATGGATAATTCTATCTGTGTGTGCATATGGATAATTAGATGTTTAGGAAAGTTAGGAATATAAACATGTATATTCAGAGTATTTTCCTATATATTTAGATCAATTAGATCAATGCATCTCTATTGGGAGTGTTTAGCCCAATGTCGGTCCTGCAAAGATTGCAGGACCATATGGCGTTGAAATGTTTAAAAACCCTTTTGTCACTTACCTGATATCCCTCGGCAGTGGGTCAGGCACCGCCTCCGCTCATCCTCTGCCAACATAAGCCAGCTGGGGGACCCTAATGTGGCGAGTTCTGAGATTGCATTAGGACTACCCCATAGGAAAGCATTGAATCAATGCTTTCTTTTTGGGTTTTAGCTAATGCTGGATGTCCTACTGCAAAGCCTGAGGACGTCCAGCATTGTTTAGTAAACCAAAAGTCCTCTAAGTAACCAGAAGCGCGTCTAGTGGCTGTCTGGTAAACAGCCACTAGATGTGAAGTTAACCCTACAATGAAATTATTGCAATTTATGAATAACTGCAATTATTGCAATTGCAGGGTTAAGGGGGTAAGGGCATTGCATCGAGTCCACTTGTTGTGGTTTTGGAGCTTAGCAAGCCCTTATAAGCAAAACATGGAAATTGATACAGTGTCCAAAGCTGCTGTAACACCTTTTGCTAAATCAGAGTATTAGTCATTATGTAATACTATTTTACCACTATGATATAAAGATATATAGAGAAAGAGAGCAAACTGTAATAAATGATCTGTACATGCTCTACAATATGTGTAGGTGTATGTCTAAAATACATATATAGAAAATAGAATGTAGCAGAGGAACATCTCAGAGCGACTGGTGGTTTGGGTGTACCTGATTTTCAAAGTTATTATTTTGCAACAAATGCCGCACAGGCCTTTAAGTTTAATCTGACTGACGATCTACCTTACTGGTTATTAATTGAAGAAGAAAAGTTACTTCCATATTCGATTAAAGAACTGTTATGGTTACCTCGTAATTTGCGCCCTAAAATCAGGAAAATACTCCCCACAACCAGGACAACGTTAAAGACTTGGGATATAATGTTTAGGCAGATAAAGGGAACGCTTTTGTGGTCCAGAGCCATGCCAGTATCGATTTTAAAATATGATACTCCTGGGGCTGATGTTGATTTCTCTCTTCATAATCTGGATGATTTTTTCTCAAATAATATTTTGTTACCATTTGACAAATTTAGATTAAAACATGATTTAGAAGATTCAGATGCCACTAAATATGAGATTTTAGTTACCAGATTAAGCGAGATATTTGAAGTCCCAATACTTGCCCAAAAATATACTAATTTAGAGAAATCACAAATAGAAAAATTATATATTAATAACCCGGGAAGGAAACGTACTATATCATTATGTTATTCTTATATTAATGCTAGGCCCCAAACCAAATTGGATTACATCCTCGCATGGGAGAGAGATCTCCAGAGAGAAATGTCTCTGGATGGCTGGTTGGCTGTTTCTTTAAATTTGAAAGGTATCACCCAGTGTTCGGCTCATTTGGAGAACCACTATAAAGTTTTATATCGGTGGTATCTGACTCCATCCAGGCTCCAGAATTCTACAAATCTCTGCTGGCATGGCTGTGGGCAGACTTGGTACATATTCCTATACGTGGTGGCATTGTACACGTTGACAGTTATTTTGGAAGAATGTACATACAATAATCAGGGATATTACAAAGTAGTGACTTTGACTCCAGAACTATGTTTATTCATGTAATATCCTGAAAACTTTACCAAAGTGGATACGATAATGGTAGGCCATGTCTTGATAGCGACCACTATGGTGATACCACGTTATTGGAGGTCTGACGTAGTTTCTGCTATGAAAGCAGTATTAACATTGGACTTAGACATTAAGTGCTAAAAGGTGCACCTCAGATTGTCATCAAACACAACAGAATCATTAACTTACCACTGGAACATATGAGAGGATAATGTCAAACGAAAATACTCTTTATGATTGTACTTTATGTGCCTCTCCTTTTACTCTTATTCTGTTTATATACGCAACTGTTTGTACACTATTTATCGCCAGTATATGTAAAGTGCTTTTATACCTACTATGTAGTGTTTTTCATGAAGCATATGTTATCAATTTTATAAAGGATGGATATTGCTCCCCCCCCCCCTCCTGTTTCTCTTTGTTTGTTCAATTTATATGTTTTTGTATTCTTTATTCCATATATTTCATTGTTTTACAATGATTATTATTGATAAAAATGAAAACCTTTCAATAAAAAACATTTCAAAAGAAAATATAATGTAATATTACATAATCATATAATTTATTATAAAAATGTCCAAATCTGTTTAGTCAAGCTACCAAATGTTATCCTTCATATTAAATATTTGCAATACATTTCCACATGAAGAAAAAAAAACTAAAACATTTGTTGTTGAACATTTTATGTATTCCAGAAAATGCAATTCATGACAATGTAATGGGACTTAATAGTCCCCCTGCTGGGAAGTCGTTAAGAACCGCTCCAAATCCCTCCGTTAGTGTCAGTATTAGCATAATGGGAAGTTAGTTATGGCAGCCCAGTGTGGCAGGATCCCTCACCGGCTCATTTTCTAAGCCAGGGAGAGGACCGGATTCCGAAGATGGAATCACTGTCAGCATAATGTCAATCAAGCAAGATTTGCTGTTTTAGAACTAAATCTCAATGTTTTCTAACATCACCTGTGAAAATGGAATTATCCCAATTTAATATCATTTCTACATTTCCCTATTACCATGCTGAATGCCATTAAACCTAGCAGTACACAAAACAATGAATCAGAAGTCTGTCATTCATAGTAAGTGGCATGTCCTGGGCTGGGGGAGTTTATGTGCGGTATTTCATGGGTTTGGTGTATGGTTATTATTGTAATGTATTGCATTGTGCGTTATTATAATGTTGTGTGCAGTTGAAGAAAAGTATCATGCTCCTACTGTTCCCTTTAAACACATCTTTCTGTGCTCCGACACTGAAACCATTAGGAAAGCTGTCTGTAAAAGAATCATAGCTTGCTGTTTGCTTAGGACAAAGCCTTGCTCCAGCTAAAATTGTGGTTGTTTGAAAGATTTACTTCTTAACTGTTTCAGCACAAGACCACTGATACAAAAAACTCTTGAAAAAAATGATTCTATATATTATGGCCTCGGTGTGTTTTATTTTGTAATGGGTAACTATCAGGACCATATTAACATAGGGGCTGATGGAGCTGAAGCTCCAGTCCCATGCGCATAGAATAGTGCCACTGATAAGTTTTTCCTCCTCTTCTAATGCTCTTGCTTTGTGCAGAGAGATCAAGTATGGAAGAGGGATGTAGGGGAACAAAACTGATGTTGACTGGCTGACTATGAATTAGTTAAGGTAAATATGACTTTGCTCACTTTGCAGATGCTCTCGCTTCTTCGGTTTCTCTACGATTGTGGCATGTCTACACTCACTACATCTCTCTACAGCCCTGGTACCTATGGGTAACCACATCTTTCTGCTGTATTTCCTGGTTTAGCCATTCTACGGGAGGGCACTGTGCGAGTCAAATGGCAAGTAAGCACATAAAGTGCTCTTTCTCCTTGCACACAGATGTTTATAAATGCAGTATTTTGCTGTGTATGTGCATGCTATTAAAGAGGCTCTGTCACATAAAGTGGTTTTTTTTAGCCCCCCAAAAAATGAAAAATAGAAAATTATAGTAAACTGATGCAGCTATGAAAATTCAAAAATAAAATGCAAATTGCAAAAGAATGAAAACTGCAATGTCAATAAAATCAGTCCATGGAGGGCTCTATGCCGACTGACGTTTTAAAGCAGGAAATGTCTTTATAAAGGCCTTCCCACACGTTAAAATGAAATGCGACTGGAAAGCCAACCAATGCAGGAGATTTGCCTGGGAATATTCTAGTGCATTTTTTTTTTTTATAAACTTTTTTTCTGTGGCGTCTGGCTACAAATTATCAAATATATAACACGGAATCAAAGTACAAGTCACAAAACATAACTATTTCTCCTGTAACGGATTAAAGAAATGAAGAATAAATTAAAGTATGACAACCGGAAATAGAATTATGGCTTCCACACTTAGAATGATCCTTTCTAGATAACATTAAAAAAAAAAAAAAGACTTGGAAACGATAAATTTTATAACGATCTAGCCTTCCTCCTTCTCCCTTTGAAATACTGGGGCCTGCTGTGATCAGAGCCTAATTGAATTCTGAAATTTGTGTTTCAGTTGGCTAGAATTCATACTTTGGTGAATATCCCTAATTGTAATATATCTTTAAACTGCAATACATGTTTTTAGAAATCCACTTGTAAATAAGATATTTGCCATTGTTTGAATTTCTCTTTTTAAAATGTCTTTGTTTGTCGCTGTTGCAAGAGCACAGATTCTCGCCTTTGTTTGCAGCTAAAGTCAACATCTGTGCTCTTTGAATAATTACCACAGCACCGTTTTTTGTTGGATTCGTAAACTACAGATATTGTCACCTTTGAATATGTTTGTGTGTATATTTATGTATAATTATTTCGTTTTTTTAGTGGTATGATTTCGTGTCGATTGTTGGAAATTATTCATGCCCCTATCTCTCCCAGTTTTGACTTTGGTATCTTTTGTGTCCTTTCTACATCTTGTTCCTGGAGTCACCACTGTCTAAAATATCTCAAAAGAGACCCTTTCTGGCCAAAAGTCCTTCCCCAAACTCCGGCCCTCCAGATGTTGCTGAACTTCAACTCCCGTGATTCTCAGCCTATCTATTTCATAGAATCAGGGGAGTTGTAGTTCAGCAGGGCCGGAGTTTGGGAAAGCATGCAAGGGTATCTTCTTTTTGTTTTTGTTTTGTTCATTTAATAAAAAGTGCAGATTTCAACTGAAATTGACACTTTTATAAATTAACCTTGTTACACCCCTGGCTGCCAATCAGACAACTGGTCTTCCTACTTTCTGATTGTTCAGCTCAGTGGAGATAAACTCAAGAGGCAGCAATTGCCCAGAGCACCTGCTTTGCAAAGACTTCTCATTAAGCTGCATTGGGAAGTCTGTGATTGGACAGCCACAGAAAGTCTGGGCGGGGTTAAAAGGGGAGGACTTGCAAAAATAAAAGTTCTGCAACCTTCGCAAGATGTTGTTAGATATAAGCCCAATGAAATAATACATAATTAATTGCATGCATGTTTTCATTGGGGATATATCTACTAAAAAATGTTTGTTTTTATTTTTTATTAATCTGACTCTGCTTACTTTGTAACAGAGAATTACTGACTCTTTATGTTCCATATTTGTCTGCAAAGTAATGTGTTACTTGTCTGGCAGCTAATTGTGGTATAAATACAACACTGCATTTTCACTTTGTTGCGAATCAATGAGAGGTTTTGAAAGCCAGAAATATTAACACTAGATTAATATTCAGATCCTGACAATAAGGAACAACGGCGGTTTACAAGGGGCGGCAGGGGGAACCGAGAAATCACAACATGCTTTGGGATCCCAGGCAGCATTGTGCAGCCGAATTAAACACCTGCTTGGAAATGCCTGATCTGCATACAGGGTATATCAGAACAACCCTTTAGTGATTTGTAATCTTCCTCCCCAACCTGCTGCTGCTTTCCTAACAATTAGTTATGAAAAGATCTATTCATTTAATTCACTGTTCAGGGCGTTCTAGTCTTCAGTGCGGAAAGTTAGGTCCCGTAACTCGCAAATGCCCTGGGGTAATTGTATTAATACATTTTCAAATTAATTGAATTCTATTTAAAAATCTTTACCTACCAGCTCTACATTGCAATGTTCTATTTTTTGTTCCATCCGTCCACCCATCCTTTGGTTGGCAGATAGAAATATTGCACCCTGGAAAACGAGAGAAATCTCAATGTATCCTTCCTGGTAAAATATTTTACAAAAAACTTTGGAAAGTTCACAAAAAATCTCAAAAACTTGTGCAGTGTCCAACAAACACTGCTTATGAGATAAAAGCATGTTTTTATTGATATTTTTTAAGCATTACCTATTCAATGCTTTAACCCCTTAAGGGCACATGACATGTGTGACATGTCATGATTCCCTTTTATTCCAGAAGCTTGGTCCTTAAGGGGTTAAAAAGACCGGTCAAAACCAGTGTGGAGTGTCCCTT